TGGCCATGGAAGAGATAAAGTGACCATGTACACGAACTGGATGGACTCCCACTCTGCTTTGTTATTATTCAGAAAGACAACAACTAAAAATACGATTGACAAACACTGTGGGTGAGCGGAGAGAGAGGTAGTAGGGATGGCACCCTGGAAGCTGCCTAACAAGGCAATTCATCTCTTGCTAGTTTCACAGGACACTGAATTTTCACCTCCTGGTACCAAGCTCTTAGGACATTTCATCAGGCAAGAGAGCTGGTGTTCTGCTTCTGACTCCCTCTGGCTACAGATCATTTCCAAGCTTCATGCCCACCCTGCCTAACTTTCTTCTGCCAACATTCTCCTGGCCTCTGGTCCTTCCCATACCAAGAACACCCTCTCTTTTCTTGACCACTCAACTTCCTTCCTATGAAATCTAGGTAATATGTTCCCTTGGGAAACTGTCTACCTCATCCCATATCTCCAACATGAATCAGGACATGGGTAACATGTAAAACTTACCATATTTAAAAAATGCTCTCATCTGTATACTTCTTAAGGGCTCTTTTCTCAATTTTAAAGAGTAACTTCAGAGACCAAGAAAACTATACTTTATCATTTTAAGGAAATAAAAACATCATGGCTCCTAACACAACACTAAAATTAATACAAAATTAATCTTTTACTAACAAAGATTTTAATTATGCACAGCATGCTACTTTTAACTTTTATGAATATGAAGTGAAGGAAATGTTCCGAGTCCATATTCATGAAAGTAGTCCCACAGAAATATTTACAATGTAATAAAAAACACACTATTTCTAGGATAATCCAATAATACCTTAACCTTCACTAAAAACAACTTTTGGAACCTCCATTGTAACAAAGCAAAACAAAACAAAACAAAACCTCAGCAAATGTATGTGGTAGATGTTATAAAGCTGATGTTTTGAAAATTGTTATGACTCATAAGTGCATGGATTTCTTTTTAAAAATGTTTCAAGCCTAATATGAAAGGATTTGCTTGGGCATTTCTCATCAGAAGTCTCATAAGTTTCTACTGTGAAAAAGTTCTCAATCTTTAAATAAGATTGTTGCTAATATATCTTAAAATTCTAAGACTAAAAGGATTTTTTTCCAAATTGAATTTCCAATTCAAAATGAGAGGAAAGTTATATTTTATTACATTTTAACTTAAACGTGAATGTCAAAATACGGGAAAAATAGGCTTCAAAATCAGCTTTGTATGAAACCATGAAATCAAAGACCCTAGAAATTAAAATATTTACATTCTTATCTATCCTTAATTGAAAGTCAAGGTAAATGTAATTCACGATTTATTGAAATTTAAAAAGTCTTGAGTAAGAATGTCATAATCTTTTAATATATCATAGTTAAAGTAAAATAAACCGTCTGACATGATGGTAAAGATCTTTTCATTGGGAGTCAATTTACTTTGCTACAGGAGGGCAAAAGTCACCACATTAAAATCACACGCTAATTACCAATCCTGGCTTTGCAGTCCCCAAATCCTGAAAACGAAATTATTGTAGTTCACGCAGGGATTATCTGCATGTGTTTTTAGCGTCAGAGAGCATTGTTAGAGAAGAGAAAATTTACATCTACTAACAAAAGTGGTACCATTTCAAAAAATGGTACAACTTTCAAAAACTGGATTAATGGTCTACTTACTTTTGTACTTTTCATTTTGAAAATAAACAGTATCAGATGCTTCTGAGAATAACATGACAATATGATCTACTGTCCATTTATACACTATCATTTTTACATATAAAAGTCTTCTAAAATATAAATTAGGTAAACATAAAGTAAACATAAGGACTCTTTGAAATTTCAAACAATTTTATCCAAAATCAAGAGTAGCCCACAAAAAAGTTAAGAAGGCACTCCAGAAAAAAAGTGTTAGAAATCACAAAAGATTCCCTCTCTGAAGCTCGGCAAAATTAGGAAGAAAAGAGTTGGTAATTATTTTGTCATCAATTTGTTTATCCCTTCCTTATGGCACGTCTCACATGGTGCTATAGAAGCTACAAGCATCTATGGACACATGCATCTTCCCCCCTAGATTTAAGATGAGGAGCTGTGTCTCATTCATTCATCCCCACATTCCTTGGTTCATAACAGTGTCTTATACATAGTAGCAAATGAAAAAAAAAGGTTGAATGATTTAAGGCAATAAATGTATTCCTAACTCCGGGTAATCAATTAGGCTCCAACTTAAGTAAGAACATTCATAATTTCATTTTAGCTAATAAGCACTGAGTAATTTGATATTTTTTTTTAATTTGCAAAGCTATTAAATGGATTTTAAGCTCTGAATAACATACTCATATTTTAAATGTATTTAAAAGAAATTACATAGTGAAACATCACAAACATTTCCTCTTACAAAGTAGAAAATGACTGGTTTCGCTGTGTGCAACACAGTACTAGACGGTGTTGGTATGGTGAACTTAGAGTGGCTGGGCACTAAAGTAAAATGTTTGTTAACATGGCAAGAACACTACAAAGTGAATTAAAAGAAGCCCCAGAATTCTGGCTGGAAATTCATAATGGGCAAGCAGGAAAGTACAGTCACTCAAGTCAGAGTCTGGGAAGGTGGCAGCCTGTCTCCCATCCTTGAGAAACAGTTACTTCTATCCCAATCCACGTGGTGCAGCTGTGTAAACTGAGGTACGGAACTGGTTTAGTCCATGGACTTACTCCTCATTACCCAAAGGAAATGATGGAATGAATACCAAGCAGACTGGGCCCCTTCGGGACTCCCAACAATTCCAGTTTCATCAGCTCTCTAAAGCTCTACTTTAGAGCAGAAGTGGCCAAATTATAACCCACGGGCCGAATTCGGCCACCTTCTGTGTTTGTACAGCCTGCAAGCTAAGAATGGTTTTTACATTTTTAAATAGTAAAATGAAGAGTCATATTTCATGACACATGAAAATTATATGAAATTCAAATGTCCGCATCCATAAATAAAGTTTTAATTGGAACACTGCCCTTCTCATTCATTTACAGGTTGTCTATAGCTGCTTTTGCACTACAATGGCAGAGATGACAGAGACCTTGCGGCTCACCAAGCCTACAATATTTACCAGCTGGACTTTTTCAGAAAAAGGATGCTGATCCTCTGGGCTACAGTATTTCTCCATGCTCCTGGTTGCATGTCCTCTCTCAGAGGTAGTCCACTGCTTCACAAGGCAGAGACTCTAAGCTTGACACATGTCCATCTTGAAGCTGTATTGTCCAAAGTTACATCATTACATATAATATAGGGCAACTCATTAAAGTGGGCACAAAGACAAAGTAACAAATTACACCCATACAGAAGGCACTGAAAAGGAAGCACAATTCAAGTACAAAATTACAGGCAGCACAGTTCATATCTTTTAACCAGACTACTACATCCAATTCCGGGTCACACTACGGAAAGGAAACAAGAACCAGAGAGAAGCTGGAGATGGATAGATGATTAACAGAACTCAAAATCAAGTCACTAAAGAAATGCCAAAAGAAATGGGATTAGTTGGCCCAAAGAAGAGAATGGTGAGAAAAGAATCATAACAGTGAGGATGTCAAATTCTACATTTGTTGATAGGTTAAATTCCTACCGACAAAATAATGGCAGCCTGAACTAATATTCCATAAAACGTACATCTAATGAAATAAATGTGATTGTGGAGACTTCCATTCCTGTCTTGGACCACGAACTAGACCCTCAAAAGATAATCACTTGTCAAATAAGGTACTATAAACCTTCAACTGGGGGATTACAGGAATGTTCCTTTTTCAGAAACATCTGGCATTATGTAAGTTACCAGAAAAGGTGTGCTATTACTGTGCTGAGGTTCAGTAATATTCAAGTAACGAAAAGGTAATGGAAATTTCACAACCACATGCCTTTCTACAGGACCAAATAGGGCAAAATGGGCTTAAATTACAGAATTTGTGTTACATTCAAGAATGTTGGCACTGTGGGATTTTAATTACTGTAAAAGATTACTGAGGTTAAAGGAATCTTCCCAGGACACCATTCAATTAGAATACTCAGTCAGAAACTATCTGGATGTTTTCTTGAAGCATGGAGAATGGGTCTCAAACACACTTCTTCCATTGCTATGATTCTGTAATTTTAACTCTCCCAGTTCTTAGATGAGTAAGAGTGCCTGCAGCCATTGCTCACTTTCGTTTTGTCTTCAAGGTGGTCAATGTGCACACAACTACAATCTAAGATAAACTTTAATATCCCAAATTAAAATTTGATTGTAACTTTAATTACAACTTTTTAAATTACAGAGATAAAAAAATGGGAAAACAGGCATAGCTTCCATTTTTTATGAGCCTAAGTACCTTATTATTTCAAAATGTCCAACACTTGTACACAGTAAGAGAACAAAATAAAGTATATTTCCTATTAGGTTTGTGAATCCTTGAACACAAAATGTTCTCTGAGTCAATCTCAACATTGCAATTATTAATGCTAATTCTGAAACTTGCTCTAAATATGCTTTTAATCAATCTGAGTTTTTCAACCTCGAAACTCTAAGATCTGTATTTCCCTAAGAATACCCTTCCAACGGTGTGAAGCACACACTAATCTGACTCACTAAACTTTCTTCACTCCTGCATCACCCATACAGGGCTTTAAAATTACGAGTGCACAATACTTTCAAGCCACTTCTACAATCTTGCCTTAACCTTACCAGGTTAAACTTTTTGCCAAGTCTCTTAATACTTTTTATTTAAGGACGTGTGGTAGTGAAACAAAGAAGACACAACCCACCTCCCCCTTTTCTAAACCATATGGCAGTAAATTGAAGTTAACTTGTGTTTCTACCAGCTCAATGCCTATACATAGGCCCTAAACATTTTTCCCTTTGTGCCCCGGGATTGGGCTAGAGCTGTCTGCTTATTTGCAACTGTACCCCAATCATGTTTCTAAATCGCAAAACAATGTCCCAAACGCCCCCTGATCATTAACAGACCTCGCCGCGGTCATTTACCAATACCCGGTTTAGGGAGGTAGTGCACGCAGGTCGAGGGGCCCGCGGCCGGCCGGTCGGCAGCGAGTCCCGCTCCCACCGGGTGACCGAGCAGGGAGTTTGCTCGCCGCGGCCGGGCAGGATCCGCCCCGGGAACTTGGTTACCCGAGCCCAGGGCCGCGCCGAGGCCTAGCCGCGAGGCCAGGGCGGGCTCCGGGCGGCGGGGGCTTCCCGTTCCCCCGCCGCAGAGCATTCCCGCCCGCCCCGCGGTCGCCCGCAGGCAGGGGCACCAGCCGTCGTCTCCCGGCGACCGGACGCGCCCGCCGGGTCCCGGGCCGGCTCCTCTGTCTCCTGCCGCCGCCAGTGGCCCCGCTCGGCGGCCGCGCCGGGCCCTTCCGGGGCGGTAGGAGCGCTAGGCCGCGCCGGGGCCCGCGGCTTCGGGGCCGGCCGGGCGGGCCACGGCGTCCAGTATCAGTCCCGAGGGCCGAGCTCCCGCCGGTAACGGGCCCCGCCGCCTCCCCTCCCCCTCCCCATGACAGTGCAAACCCTCCGGCCGGCCCGGCCGCCCCGCCTCCGGCACCAGGCCCAGCTCAGGGCCGCGGCCGTGGCGGCGGCGGCGCCGCGGCTCTCCGCCCTCGCTCGCTCGCTCTCGGGCCCGGCGCCTCGGGCCGGGCTTGGGCTTGGCGAAGTCGCCGCCGCTTCCCGGCCGCCCTCCGCGGCGCCTGGCCCGGGCGGGGTAGGCCGAGGCCCGGGCGGAGGGGGTGGGGGCGGGGGCTCCTCTCACCTTCATGTCGGGACATCCTAGTTCAGACGGTGGCGGCGCGGCCCCTCCCGGGCTCCGGCTGCAGTGTCCCCCGCGGGGTCCCGGCGCTGCCCGCGCCGGCCGGCCGACTCCCACTCGACTCCCGGGCTCGGCCGCGGGGGCGGGGTGGGCAGGGGAGCGCTCCCGCGGCGGCGGCGGCGGCGGCGGCGGGGAGGCGGCGCGGGGCGGGAATGGGGCCGGGCCTGGCCGGGGCTGAGCTCCTCCAGGAGGCGGGTCCGACGCCGCCGCTCCGCCGGCGCCCGCCGTGACTCGGTCACTCTCGGGCCCGCCGGCTCCCGGCTGCGGCGCCGCGCTCCGCAAATCCCGCTCCTCCCCTCCCCCGGCCCACCCCCCGCCCCTCTCCCCCAGCTCCCGGCCGCCGCCTCCTCCTCCTCCTCTTCCTCCTCCTCCGCCTCCTTCCGCCGCCCGCACGCCGGCCCCGCCTCTCGCCGCCCGCGCCAGGCCCAGCCGCCCGGAGGCCCCGCGGCCGGCGGGCGCGGCGGGGGCGGCGCGGCAGCGGCGGCTGCTTGGGGCGCGGCGCCTGCCCGCGCTCGCCTGCAGGCCGCGGTCGGGGTCCGAGCTCGGGCTCGGCCTGGCCGTCGCCGCGCCGCGCGTAGGGAGGAAGAGGAAATGCCCGGCCGCCCGCGCCCGCTGCGCTCCCGGCCGGCCGGCCCGCGTGGCCGACCCCCGCCCCGTCTGCGGCCCGCCGGCGCCCGCGCTGTAGGCGTCCCCGCCGCTGGGCTGGGCTGGGCTGGGCTGGGCTGACCGCGGGCGCCGGGGGCCGCTCGGGGGGCTCCCGCCCTCGCGCGCATGGCCGCCGGCCGACGCGGGGCAGCGAGCGGCCGCCCCGACCCCGAAGAGAGGCCGCAGAGCGCCCGGGACTTGTGTTTGTGTTTCTTTTTGAAGCCGGCAGCCCCGAAGGGACGGGCGGCTGGCCTCCGGTGGTCGCCGGGTGTGGCCCGGCCGGGTGGCGGGCGGTCGGGAGAGGGCGTCGGCGCGGGAGGGCAGCCGGGAGGCGGCGGCGCTCGGCCCCCGGGCCCCCGGCCGGCTCCCCGGGCCCCCTCTCCTGAAGCTCCGCTCCGCCGGCTCGGTGTCCGGCGGGACCCGCGCGGAGTTTGTCCCAGCGCCTTGGCTCCCCGGATTGCACTGCTCTCAAGACTGTTGGGTGGGGGGGTGGCATGTATGTGTGTGTGCCTTTTCTTCGTGCTCGTGAACTTCTTTTCCGTTTTCACCTATCTTTTACATTTTTACCCTCTTCCTCGTTAACTTTGTTTTCAGGCATTATTAATTCAACAGATATTTATTTGTTGAACAGCCCCTTACCAGGGTCAGTGGGTAGCGTGGTTTGGTGGAAATAGATCGCGCTTTGGACTCAAGACAGATCTGCCATGGGATTATGGTTCTGATATCCTCTGTGTGACCTTGGACAAGTTATTTAACCTTGCTGAGCCTCTGTTTCTTTGTCTTGGTTGTCATTTTTCTATATTTGAAGTTGTTTTTTTTTTTTTTTTTTTTCGTAAAATAGAATGGTGTCCCTAAGCCGAGTCTAGTGAAATTGGATTCCAAGGTGCTGCTTGCTTTGGGGTTACTCTTGATCCTGTCCGCCATTACCAGCTGTGTGACCTGGGGTAATTGACAGCCTCCCTGTGCCTTGACTACTCCATCTTCAAAATGAGCGTGATTACAGATGATAATAACATTGTTAATAATGACAATACTAACAGGCAGATAGGTGTTTAGAGGCTTAAGGGCAAAAACGTATATGAAATATCTAGCACAGGAAACGGTGAAAACAGTTTGTTACCATATTTCAAGAAATAATGATTTTAAGACACTTCCTGACTTCAAAGATATTCAAAAACTCATCTTAAAGTCGAGGAAATAGCTATTCGGTCACTCAGGTCTCCCCAAGGGCTGTATATACTAGTAACTAGTGATAAACTAGATGTCAGCCAAACTAAGGTTTAAACAAACTGGGATTTAAATGAAGACTTTGTCACCAGGAACATTTCCATTGCATGTGTGGAGATTTTGTCTAAATTCAATCCTGCACAGCTGTTGAAGAAAGAGGTCCATTCCGGGCCCTAATTGGGGTTTGGTGGAGTAGAGAGAACCGGACTTCGAACAAGGCCGCTAACATTTACTGAATGCTCTCCTGTGCCCACACCTTTCTAAGCATTCTAAAGCATTGGTGTGTGTGATCCTGGGTACCAAACCCTTAGGAGCCTTGATTTCTTGAGCTGTAAAAGTGAAGACAACACCCCACAGTCTTGTGATGAGTAAATGATGTCTGTAAATATATTAAGTTACAGAGATTAAGGCATTATCAATAATACAGTCAGATAAAATGCTAGAGCAGGTAGGAAGCTGACAAAAATACTGAACTCTAGGAATAAGAACAAGTGTAGAAGTTGAGTTTGTTTTGGTTTGGGGAGTTGTTAGCTAATCCTGTTAAGGAGAGCAAACGTAACTCTGAACATCAAGGAAATATCAGATCTTTGACAATTATTTCCTTGTTTTCAATCAGGCAAAAGTAAGAAAATGAAGAAAGTGACTAAGAATATTTTTTCCCTGTTTGAATAAGAGTAAGCAGGAATATTACGGTTATTTGGGGTTTTCATGACTGGAGGAAGCATATCTTCAATTCAATTAGAGGTTAGGCCCTTCAGTCTAAAACAACCTGCTTGCTGGCCTACCGTCTGAGAGATTGCACTTCCGAAAACAGGGTTAATTTAACTGCTCATACCAAATTGTCCATACAATGATTTCTATTCTCCAGAAATACTTCCTCCAGTCCTTTCCTCACCCTGCACCTCTTTGAGCTCTCGTTTCTTCCGTGTTCTTGCCTCACCAACCCATTGTCCATACTGTGGTCCAATTATGTTCCTTAAAACAGCTAGTGCCTGTAAACACTAGTGAAATTTGAATAAGCTCTGAAGCTAATTAACTTGTATGTCAGTTTCCTGGCTTTGATATTTTTGTATAGTTTTGTAAGATATTACCATTGGAGAGAGCTGGGAGAAATGTACATGGGCCCTCTCTGCAACTTCCTATGAGTATAATTATTTCAAAGTGAAAAACTATAGGGACAGAAATCAGATCAATAGTTGCTTGCAGCTGAGGGAGTGGAGTATGGGGATTGACTACAAAGAACTTTCTGAGGTGATGAGAATTTTTTTTTTTCCTTCGTCAGGAAGATTGGCCTGGAGCTAACATTTGTTGCCAATCTTCCTCCTCTTTTTTCTTTCTCCCCACTGCCTCAGTACCTAGTTGTATATCCTAGTTGTAGGTCATTCTAGTTCTTCTGTGTGACATGCCACCACAGCACAGCTGATGAATGGTGCACAGGCCCACACCCACGATCCCAACCGGGGAACCCTGGGCTGCTGAAGCAGAGCTTGCAAACTTAACCACTGGGCCACGGGACCAGCCCCTTCTATGTCTTGATTGTGGTGCTGTTTACTGTATACCTAAAATGGTAAATTTTACTTCTATGTAAATTATACCTCAATAGACTTGACTTAAAAAAAGAAAAGGAAGCTCTTGTCACCCCAGCCTCCTCTGGTCTAGAGGGTGAAATTTCACTTCTCACATAAGGCCCAACAATCTTTTCCAGCATAATGGCTTTTTCTTCCTCAGCCAGTGTACCCTTTGCTTTCTTGTACTATATTGATTCCTACCTCTGGGCTTTTGCACATGCTCTTCCCTTTGTTTACAGGGAACACAGGAAATTCAAGCCCAAACTCAAATTCCGTGTACTCTGTCAAGCCTTCCTCGCCTCCCTTAGGCACACCACTGACTTCCTCCTCTGTGCTCACTTAGTCTGTGCTGTAATCTTTAAGGAGTTTTCATCTCTTCCTCAGCCAAACTCCTCCACGGCAGGCACTACATGATCCATTTCTATTTCTGGGATCCAGTAGTGTTGAATGAGTGAATAAATGATTTAAAGCTGGAGGAAAGCTTAAAGTAATCATTCTCAAAATGTAGTCCAGGGTCCTCTGGACGCTTTCAGAAGGTCAGTGAGGTGCTTGGGTTTTTTTACATATTTCAAACAGCACATCTCAGTAGACTGACTGTAGAAGCAGATAAGAGAATCCAGCTGTCTACAATTAAGCCAGTCATTAAAGGTATTTGCAAAAGTAAAACAAACATACACTTCCAAATTTTTTTTGTTTTTAAAAATACATTTTCCTTAAAAATATTTAAGTTCCTAGGAAATGGGTTTATTTAAAAAGATTTTTCTCAGTTTTAATTTCTAATATAAAAAGCATCAGGGGCTGGCCCTGTGGCTGAGTGGTCAAGTTCCGCTTTGGCGGCCCAGGGTTTCCCCAGTTGGGATCCTGGGCACGGACATGGGACTGCTCATCAGGCCACATTGAGTCGGCATCCCACGTGCCACAACTAGAAGGACCCACAACTAGAATATACGACTATGTACTGGGGGGATTTGGGGAGAAAGAAGCAGGAAAAAAAGATCAATAGATACTATACACGCTAGAAAAAGGTCCTTCAATAATTTTTAGGAGGGGCCGACCCCGTGGCCGAGTGGTTAAGTTCGCGCGCAGGCGGCCCAGTGTTTCGTAGGCTCGAATCCTGGGCGCAGA